AAGACGGCCTAAGATGTCCAGGATCTCCCCAAAATTGCTCCAGGGCTCCAAGAGCCTCCAAGGCTCCAGGATCTCTCTAAGATTGCTCAAGGAGGCTCCAAGAAGCCTCCAAGAGACACCCAACAAGGCCACAAGAGGCGAAAGGAAGGGGAAAGCCAGAGATCCGCGGGCACCGCTTGCGGGGCCACCAGGCTGCGGGGATTAGGCGTGCTGCTCCCTGATACAGTTCCAGCTTCAAGTCTCCCATGTGATAGTCCTACATTGATGTTCCTACTGTGCATTGTTGAAGTCTGCGCGAGGGGGGGGAGCCCCAAACCAGTTCTTACCACACCCAAATCGCATCGTCTGAATTCCTGCGAGGCCGCGGGACATGTACATACTCACGATTCGCGCCCCCGAGGCCACGATCCCTCGTAGATTGCACAATGCTCGCGTCCCCGAGGCCACGATGCCTTGCAAATTACACAATGGCTGCGCCGCCGAGGCCACGACCCCTTGTGAATGACGCGACGCTCGCGCCTCCAAGGCCACGATGCCTTGTAAATAATGCAATATTCGTGTTCTCGAGGCCACGATCTCTTGAGATTCGGGTCCCCGAGGCCACGAGCTCTGCTACTGTAATCTGCTTTCGCGTCCCCGGGGGCAACGGTCCCTTGCACATTCTACCATTACACCCAAGAAAAAAAACCCAATCAGTGAATGGTTTGACAATTCAGTGAGAGTATGAGAACGATCGTGAGATCTGCAGTGAGTTGCATGATGCGATTGGTAGTGAGATCGCCTGGCGAGATCGATAAAAAGAAATCGATCTCACTCGATCGACCGATCGAACCGTCGAACCCGGGAACCTGGGAACCTCGCGATCGGGAACGCGGAACCCGGGAACCCGGGCACCAAGAACCCGGAACCATCGGGAGCGGCCAAGAGGGGGGTGTCCAAGAGGGGGGGGTGCAAATCATGACCGGCGGCATGTGCGCGGCCCAGCGGGGGGGCCAGGGACGTGATGAAATAAGAATAGGCGCCACGAAATCTGGGGAAATATCATGGCCCCCGCCATGATATCCCCCCCCCTAGTCATCACCCCCCTCTGTTCCGCCCCCGAAACCAGGAATGCGGGAACCCAGAACTGGGCGCCCGGGAACACGGCAGCCGACCGAGATCGGCCGCCCCCTTTCGCCAAATCCGTCCCAAGGTCCGCCACGACCCCTGCAGTGCAAGCACTGATGAGGGGAGTGTTGGCGTCCCCGAGGCCACGATCCCTGCAAATGACACCGCCTCCGCGTCTCCGAGGCCACGACCCCCTGGCAGAGTCCACGAGGTTCGCGCCCCCCGAGGTCACGATATCTGGCAGAGCACGCCCTCTTCGCGCCACGAGGCCACGACCCTGCGCTGAGTTGCACCGCTCGCGTTCCCGAGGCCACGACCCTTCTCAAACGATCGCATACTCGCGTCCCCGAAGCAACGATCCTTCGTAAGTTACGCAATTTTCGCGTCCTCGAGGCCACGATTCCTTGCAAACTCCATGATCGCGTCTCCGAGGCAACGATCCCTCGTAAATGGCCGTATGCGCATCCCCGAAGCCACTTCCGTGTAAATTACGCTATGCTCGCGCCCCCGGGGCCACGACCCCTTCGTAAAACAATGGCGTCCCCGAGACCACGACCCCTCGTAAATTGCCAAATGCTCGCGTCCCCGAGACCACGACCCGTTGTATATTACGCAATGCTCGCGTCCCCGAGTGGAACGACCCATCGACAATGACATGCAAGTCGCGCCCCCGAGGCCAAGATCCTACATGAGGTGTGCAACATTCGCGTTCCCGAGGCCACGATCCCTTATAACTTGTACCATATCCGCGCCCCCGAGGCCACGACCCCTTGTGAATTACCCTATATACGCGCGTCCCCGAAGCAACGAGCCCTCGCACGTTGCGCCGTGTTCGCGCCCCCGACACGACGCCCCGTCGAAAAATTACGCTCCGAAGCCACGAGCCCTCGTAAAGTGCACCGTGCTCGCGTCCCGTAGGCCAAAGATCTCTTGTCAACTCATACATATGTGTGTCCCCGAGGTCATCGGCCCCCCGGGGCCACGATCCCTTTGATGGATTGCGCAAGATCCGCGCCCACGGGGGTCACGATGCCTCGTAAGCTGCGCCGTGCTCGCGTCCCCGAAGCAGCGATATCCCTGGTGCATTGCGCCGTGCTCGCGCCCCCGAGGCCACGACCCCCTTTTCGAAGGTTACGCTACATGCGCGCCCCCGAGGCCACGAGGACTCGTGCATTACCAAATAGTCGCGCGCCCCGAGGCGACGACCCTCTGCAAATTGCGCCACGCTCGCGTCCTCGAGGCCGTGGCCCTCCGTAGATTCACGATGCTTGCCACCCCGAGGCCACGATCCTTCTCATCAATGGCACCATGCTCGCGCCCCCGAAGCCACGACAGCTATAGTAGTTTACGCGATGTTCGCCGCCCCGAGGCCGCGATCCTTACAAGTTGATCCACGTTCGCGCCCCCGAGGCCACGATCCCTCGCCCTCGGCAATTACACTAGGTTCGCCTCCCCGAGGCCACGATCCTTCGTAAATTGCGCCATGCTCGCGTCCCCGACGCCACGGCCCTTCGTAAGTTACGCGATGGTCGCGCACCCGTGGCCACGATCCCTCGCAAACTACGCCATATTCGAGCGCACGAAGCCACGATCCCTCATTACGCTACATGAGCAGAAGATTGACGATTATCTGCATTGGGAGATGTGTTCGGGGAACGCTTTTCGCCCCCCCCCCCCGCTGTCTCTTGAAAATCCTGCGGTGGACCCGCAACCACGCATCACCAAAACAGCAACGAATGGAAGGAACTAGCAAACACACCCAACCGCGCGATTTGGCCCAAGATGGCCTCAAGCAATCCCCAGTCGTACAGAGAGAGCTGCTCACGCACAACACGAGGGAAACGTCCTAAGAAGGCAACAAGACGTTCCATAACAACCCCAACATCACAAAATGTTGTGTTGATTCCTTCCCGTCCTCCCAGGACGATCCCAGATGTCGTCAAGACAGCGCCCAGACATCCCACTACAGCTCTAATGCATCCCATTATGATAGAGAGGGGGCCGGCGGCAGAGGACGAAGCCCTTACGAATATCAATGTGGTTTGCTTCCGATGTGCTCGGCTTCAGATCGCCTCGAGAAAGCTTCAGAGCGCCGCAAGAAGCCCAACGCCTCGAGACAGCTTCAGATCGCCTCGAGACAGCCTACGACGGCCCAAACAGCGCCCCAGCTCAAAAGGGCTTCAAGACGGCCCCCAAAACCCGCCCAGACGTCCCAGATGAGTGTCAGCTCGGCATTTTCACTTTGCGAGAGAGCTCTGTGGAACCATGCGCACGACACTATCTCCGAGACCTTCGACGGGCCATCAAAGGGGCCCTCAGCAGACCTCCAAGAAGTCTGCAAGAGGGCCTCAGGAAGCGCCCAAGAAGCATCAAATGTGCCTTCAGGGGGAAAATGGAAAAGGGAAAAAAGGAGGAAGAAGAAGAAGAAGGTGAGGAAAAGCATCGCCGATGCGGCGAGATCCCCCGTCGCCGCCATGGCGGCCAAGGGGCGGGGGCCCTCAGAAGAGCTCGAAGACGACAAGGCCGAGCGGGAGGGGGACGCCGTCGTCGAAAGGAGAATTAGAAGGAGGCTGCAGACAAGGAGGGGGTGCTCAAGACCCGCGGCAGGTCAACCGGGGCACCGAACTGGAACGGCTCTTAGACTCAACCTCTTTCCTGCCGCGCTGCTGCGCTGCTGCGCTGCTGCGCCAGCAGGGTGGTGGGTCAGCGGGCGAAGAACGGCATAAGATATAAACTGTTCCGCCGTCGGGGAGCAGGCGTCCCCGACGGCGGAAAATATTATCTTACAGTCGGCCCGTATCATGAGGATGCGCGATAAGGATGCAAGGGCCTTGGACGCTCTTTTCGAAGCTGTTCGAGCGGAGCGCGGCCAGCGAAAGTGGCCAAGGATGGACCGAGGAGGCAAGGATGCAAGGGCACCCTTGGGAAGGATGCCCGTCCTCATGATGCGGGTTGACTGTATACCGCTCCTCGCCCCCCGAAGGGGGCTCGCCGTAGGCAGCTGGATAGAAATCAAACTCCATGTGTGCCTGCGCACTGCCGCTGGCACTCGCACTCCCTCAGAAGCAGGAAAAATGCCATAAACATAAACTCTGGGCGCTCCGCGCGGACTTCTTGGATGTGGCCGCGGCCCCCCTCCCTGGCGCGCGGAGCGCGCCCGGCGCGACGCCAGCGGCGCCGCCGAGGGGGCCCCGCGCGGATCCGAGAAATCCGCGCGGAGCGCCACAAGTTTCTGCTTCCGGCGTTCTCTCTTCCTCGATCCCCTGGGGGCCGCTGGCTGCTCCGGCGCCCGCGGGGCCTCTCGATGGCGCCTCCGCCCCCCCGGCCCGGCGCGGCGACGCTCCTCTCGAGGCCAGCAGTCGCCGCCGCGGGCCTCCGCGCGCCGCCGTGGGGCCGCTGGCCACAGGCGCGGGAGCTCGCCCGGGCCGTGCCCAGATGTCGCGACGGCCGCCGGGGGCGCCGAGCCCGAGCGGGCTCGACGGTTGGGCCGCGCGGTGCCCCGCGAGAGGGCGCCGCCGAGCGCTCAGAGCGGGAAGCCGCCAAAGAGGCCGCCGAAGGGGAGGCTGCCGAAGGGGAGGCCGCCGCCGGGCGGTCGCGGACCCGCGGGCTGCCCCCCCCGCGGGCGCTGCCCCGAGAGGAGGCGCGCCGACCTGGCCGCCGCCGGGGTGTAGAGCTCCACCTCCGCACCGTCCGCGGAGGCGGAGCCCTCGGCACCGGGCCCCAGTACGGCGCCCTCGGCGCCGCGCCGCAGCAGCTGCCGCACCACCCGGTCCGCCTCGGAGTCGCCGAGGCAGGCCGCGGCGGTGCCTTCGGAGCAGGGGCCTGCAGGCCCCTCGGAGCCGTCGAGCAGGCCCTCCTCCTCCTCCTCCTCCTCCTCCTCCTCCTCCGTGTCCTCCTCCTCCTCATCGTCCTCAGCGACGCCAGCGTCCTCATCGTCGTCCTCCTCCTCCTCCTCCTCCTCGGCCTCCCCGCCCTCGTCCTCGGGCCCGTGCCCCTCGTGCTCGCCCTCGGGCTCCTCGGCCTCCTCGGCCTCGAACCCGTCCTCCTCGTACTCGTCCGCCGGCTCCTCGGCCTCCTCGGCCTCGAACCCGCCCTCCTCGTACTCGTCCGCGGGCGCCTCGCCCTCCGTCGCGGCGACCATCGGCCCGCCGGGCTGCCCAAGGCTTGCCTCGGCGGCCATGCCGCGAGCCACGTCCAGCTCTGCGGGCAGCCCCCCCGCCCCAGCCTCGGCCTCGGCGGCCCTCTGGCCGCCTGCGCCCGGATCCGCCGACAGCTCCCCCGGCGCGGCCGCGTCATCCACCTCGCCCTGGTCGCCCTCGCCCTCGCCCTCCTCTCCATCCTCCTCCTCCTCCTCCGCCTCCTCCTCATCATCACCATCATCATCATCATCATCACCACCACCACCACCACCACCACCATCATCATCATCATCATCATCATCATCATCATCATCATCATCATCATCATCGTCATCATCATCGTCATCAGCCCCAGCCAGCACAGTCACATCCCAATCATCAACATCATCATCATCATGCATCATCATCATCATTCATCATCATCATCAAACATCATCATCATCATGCATCATCATCATCATCATCATCATCATATCATCATCATTTCATCTACCATCCTCCTCCTTCCTCTCCTCCTCCTCCCTCCTTCCTCTGCTCCTCCTCCTCCTCTCCTCTTCCTCCTCCACCCGCCCTCGTCGCCTCTTCTCCGCCTTCCTCCCCGGTCATGATCGGCCATCATTATCATTATCATCAGCATCATCATCATCATCTAGCGATGATGAGCACCAGCAGCAGCAGCATCATCAGCAGCAGCATCAGCATCAGCATCAGCATCAGCATCAGCATTGGCATCAGCATCAGCATTGGCATCATCATTAGCAACAGCAGCATCACCATCATCATCAGCAGCATCATGATCAGCAGCATCATCAGCATCAGCATAAGCAGCAGCATCAGCAGCAGCATCAGCAGCAGCATCAGTAGCAACATCATCATTATCATAATCGGCATCATCAGCAGCATCATCAGCATTAGCATCAGCATCATCGTCATCATGTTCATCAGCAGCAGCATCATCAGTAGCATCATCATCAGCATCATCATGTTCATCATCATCAAAAGCATCATCAGCAGCATCAGCAGCATCAGCATCCGCATCAACAACATCAACAACAACAACATCATCATCATCATCCTCATCATCAGAATCATCATCATCATCATAAGCATCATCATCATCATCATCATCATCATCATCATCATCATCATCATCATCATCATCATCATCATCATTACCATTGACCTCGACATCATCGCATCATCAGCAGCAGCGTCATCGTTATAAGCATCATCATTGCCAGCATCATCATCACAATCATGATCAGGTTCATCAGCAGCAGCATCATCATCCTGATCAGCATCATCATCAGCATCATGATCAGCAGAATCATCATCATCATCAGCATCATCATCATTAGTTGCATCATCATCAACGCAAACGCCATCATCACCAGCACCATCAGTATCAACATCAGCTCCATCATGGTCATCATCATCAACATCATCATCAGCAACAGCATCATCATGGCCATCATTATCACAATCACCAGTATCATCCGCAGTATCAGCAGCATGGTCATCCTCATCATCATCATCCTCACCCTCATCCCCCTCCTCGTCAACTCATCATCATCAGCATCATCATCTCTATCTTCGGCAGCATTATCATAGACAACCTCATCATCAGCATCATCAGCATGATCATCCTCCTCGGCATTATCATCAACATCCTCACCTTTACGTAGCACCCCGCAGTTGCGGATAAGAGTGAGGGGGCGGGCGCGGGCGACGCGGGCGTCGTCGAGCCGGCGGACCTCGTGGCCCCCACCTTCCCTGTCGATGGCGCTCTCCTCATCCCTTTCGTTCTCCCTCCCTCCTGTCCTCCTCCTCCTACCCTCCTCCTGTCCTCTGTCCTGTCCTCTCCTCGTCTCAGCTATCGTCCTCGTTCCTTCAATCCCCGCTTTTCAGGGGCAGCGCCACCTCGTCCTCCATCCCTCCTCTTCTTCCCTCGTACTCCCTCCCCCCCCCCTCGTCCAGCTTCATCACGTCCTCCCATTGTCGTCTCCACCCTTCATCGGCATCCAGAGCCATCGTACCTCCCCTAATGTTCGTTTTCCATCATTCATCATCCCCCCCCTCCCCTCACCCCTCTCCCCTCCTCGTCCTCCCCTCCACCTCCCTCCCCCCTCCTCCCCCTCCTCGTCCTCCTTCTCCTCCTCCTCCTCCTCCTCCCCCTCCTCCTCCTCCTCCCCCTCCTCTTTCTCCACATTCTCCTTACATCCTCTCTTCTTCCGCGTCCTCCTCGTCCCTTGTTTACTCCTGCTGCCTCCCCCTCCTTTCCCAAGATAACGGCAACGCAATCCTTTTTCCCACTTTATGCTCCCCGACTTCTCTGATCACGGCAACCCGCCAGGGCAAAGTTGCTGGATGGGCTGGTGTGGATGCGCGGGGCTTGAAGAGGTCCTTGCTTGTGCGGCATTGGTTTGTTCTGTGAACGTGAGTTGGGTCGCGGGTGGGTCGCGGGCTCTCCACCTCCACCTGGAAGGAATGCAAAAAGCAGCCCGCCGCAGGCGCCAAAAACATTGGTTTGTACACTGAACGCGGTTTGGGCCGCAGGTGGGCCGCGGGTTCCCCACTGGGAACGAATGCAAAAGATGCCGAAAAATGTGGTTTGCAACCTGAACGTGGTCGCGGGTGGGCCGCGGGCTCTCCACTTGAAACGATTGCAAAAGATGCCCGCCGCAGGCGCCGAAAAATGTGGTTTGTACCCCGAACGTGGTTTGGGTCGAGGGTTGGTCGCAAGTTGGTCACGGGGTGGGTCGCGGGCTCTCCACCTGGAAGGAATGAAAAAAAAGCCCGCCGCATGCGCCGAAAATAGTGGTTTGTACCTTGAACGTGGTTTGGGTCGAAGGTGTGTCGCGGGTGGGTCGCGGGGTGGGTCGCGGGTGGGTCGCGGGTGGGTCGCGGGTGGGTCGCGGGTGGGTCGCGGGTGGGTAGCGGGTGGGTCGCGGGGTGGGCCGCGGGCGGGTCACGTGGGTGGGGCGCGGGTGGGTCGCGTGGGGGGGGTCGCGGGGGGTGGGTCGCGGGGTGGGTCGCGGGGGCGGGTCGCGGGTGGGTCCGCGGGTGGGTCGCGGGTGGTACGCCGGGGTGGGTCGCGTGGTTGGTCGCGGGTGGGCGCGGGGCGGGTTTTGCGGGTGGGCGACGACAACAAACAACAACAAACAGCAACCACAACAAACACGAAATCCGCACGCGGAATTTTCCATTCAGCCACGCACCCAGGGGGACAGCGAAGGACCGTTCGGCCCGCTCACTCTGATCATCCGTGCAAGTTGGTGACGGAGACATCCTCTCTTCATCATCATCACGGGCATCGTCATCATCCTCATCCTCATCCTCATCCTCATCCTCATCCTCATCCTCATCATCATCATCATCATCATCATCATCATCATCATCATCATCATCATCATCATCATCATGATCATCATCATCATCATCATCTCCATCACCACCATTATCAGCATGTCGTAGTCATCATCATCATCATCATAATAATAAGAATCATCATCATCATCATCATCATCAGCATCATCATCAGCATCAGCATCAGCATCAGCATCATCATCATCTTCATCATCATCAGCATCAGCATCAACATCATCATCATCATAATCATCATCAGCATCATCAGCATCATCATCAGCATCATAATCATAATCATAGGCATCAACACTATCATCATGATCAGTAGAATCATCCTCATCATCATTATCATCCTCCTCATCGGCATCATCCTCATCCTTATCATCGTCATCATCGACAGCATAATCATCAACAACAACACAAAATCATCATCGCCATCAGCAACGTAATCAACATAATCTGCATCATCATCCTCAGTATTATCATCATCATCATCATCATCCTCATCCTCATCATCACCATCGCCATCATCATCATCATCATCATCATCATCATCATCCTCATCATCATCATCATCGTCATCAGCAGCATCGCCATTATCACAATCATCATCCTCATCACCACCATCATCCTCATCATCATTATCATCAGCAGCATCACCCCCATCATCATCCTCATCCTCGTCCTCATCATTACCACCATCAGCATCGCCATCAGCATCCTCATCCTCATCATCATCATCATCACCATCATCATCGTCATCATCGTTGTCATCATCATCGTCATCATCACCATCAGCGCCCTCCTCCTCATCATCATCATCATCATCTCATCATCATCATCATCATCATCATCATCATCATCATCATCATCATCATCATCATCATCATCAACAGCATCACCACCATCATCGGCAGCAGCATCATCATCCTCATCGTCATCATCCTCATCCTCATCACCATCAGCAGCATTCTCGGCATCGTCACCCTCGTCGCCGTCGCCCTCCTCGTGCTCCTCGCGCTCCGCCGCGGGCACGGGCACCCCGCGGCCCCCCGCGGCTGCCCGGGCGGCCCCGCGGCCCGCCGCGCCGGGCCCTGCCGCGGACGGGGCCACCCTGCGCTCGAGGCGCTGCAGCCGGCGCTGCAGGCTGCTCCTCAGGACCCCGTCGATCTCCGCGCGCAGCCGTCGGTACAGCGGCGAGGCCCTCCACGCGGCGCCCACGCGGTCGTCGTCGGGGGCGCCCGCGTCGCTGCCGGCCGTCTCCTGCGCGCAGCTCGGGGCCGCCATCCCGCAGCTCTGGCCGCAGAGGGCGCTGCCTCTGCTAGGGGGCCACATGCGAACCCTACCCCTACCCCCCACGATTTCTGAGGGGGAGGGTGGGGCTCACTTCGTTCGGGAGCTCCCGAGCGAAGTGAGCCCCACCCTTCCCCTCAGAAATCGTGGGGGGTAGGGGTAGGGTAGGCATGCGGCCCCCTATCTGCAGGGACAGCCGCAGCAAGCACCGCGTGCCCGGTGGCACGGACATGCGCTCCAGGGCCACCAGGCTCTCGAGGCCAGGCGGCTGCGGAGGAGCGGGAGAGGGGAGGAGGAGCACGAAGAGGATGAGGAGGACCAGGAGGAAGAGGCGGAGGCGGAGGAGAAAGAGGAGGCAGGAGGGAGGAGAAAAGCCGGAGAAGCAGCAGGAGATAGAAGGGCGAGGGGAACCCAGGCGGTCGTCAGTGACAATGGTGGGGCACCCCTCAACGCATGACATCGATGCCGTATGGCATAGACTCCATGCAAGGGCGGCGTCTGAGTAAGCTCTTGGCGTGCAATCAAGTGTGTAAGGCTATGGTGGAACTACGTTGTGCTTCGAAGACTGCTGGAGTAGCAACTCGTTGTAGGATGCCGCGAAATGTGTTCGACAATCTTCGTTTTCTTGTTCAGGAATTTGATTCGATGATGACTGACGGTATGTTCTTTTATCCCCACATTGGTTGGTGAATATTTGGCGAGGACAGTCTCCAAGCGTTCACGTTGCTCGGTGTCCACGCGGCCGTGGACCAGGAGCTGGAGCTGATCACCAATAGGGGTCGGTATCATGGCGGACACCTTCGCAGTGCAGTAGCTAGGAGGGGCAGCATCCCTCTCTCTCTCTCTCTCTTTCACGCTGTCTGTGCCGTGCCCTTCTACAGGATAACATGATTGCACGCCGCCTCGCAGCAGGTGGCACATCATGAAGTCGGCCCAATAGTCACACACTCGTCATCGGAATCGCCTGGAGGAGTTGCTTCAATCTGTTGCAGTCCCCAACGTGATATGCCTGTGCGGTTCTTACAGGGACCCTGGGATCCTCGTCCTCTATCTCTTCTCCTCCGTAAGGTTCACGGTCCTCTCTTGAGGGTACAATGGGGGTTGGAGGGGTGAGAACCTCCCTGTCAATTCAGCAGTCGATTATGGCACAACGTTTCACTGCATCCAGGGGGACGTGGCAGACCTACATCACGCTGTATCATGAGCGTGGCCTGTGTAGCACACTGGCGCCTGCTGCACGGTGTACCGGCTCAGCTCGCTTTGAGAGGAGACCCAAAAGGCCTTGGTCTCTCCGAAGCTGGACCTGCGTGAAAAGGGTAGGGCCACTGTGGGGGCGAAAGTAGCAGGGGATGAAGCAAACCCCAATTGCCACCTCAGTGGCCTACCCAAGTGCAGGCAGCCTCACCACGCTCGTCCACCTTCCCCAGGATGAGGAGTCACATCGTGCGGATACGAGGAAGCCATGCGGATACGAGGAAGTCATGCGAATACGAAGAAACTATGCGGACACGAGGAAGCCATGCGGATACGAGGTGTGCGGATACGAGGAAGCCATGAGGATACCAGGGAGCCATGCGGATACGAGGAAACCGTGCGGATATGAGGAAACCATGCGGATACAAGGGGAAGCCATTCGCATTTGACCGTGCAAGTGCAAAATAGAAGGGTGTACAGTTGACCAGCTCTCTAGGGATTCAGCGAGAACACCTATAGACAAGCCTATCTTGATTATTGGCGATCCTGAAACTAGAAAACTCAAACAGGTACAAAGATGAAGGGCCAGTCGACTCCCAAATACAGAAGGAACGCGATTTCACCGTCGCCTGAATGGAAAATTCTGCCCCCCCATATGCGGGAGGTAAAATTTCCCCCCTCCCCCCATGCTCGGAAATGAAAGCGGGGGGGCTCGAACCAGGGGGAGGGGGGGGACTCGGGGATCTACTGACCCGGGGCAATCCAAACCCCCCGCCAGGTAAATCAGGCTTTGCAGGATCCTGCAAAATCCTGCAGGATCCTGCAATCCGGGTCACTGCACCCCTGGCTCTGCAGGATCCTGCAAGGTCCGGCGCTCTGAGTGACCCCCGTTTGCATTGACCCCCGTCTCTCGAACCCCGAGGGGCTCCCCCGGCATGGAAATCGGGGGGGGGGGGGGGCATAGAACCTCCCCCCCAGTTCGAACCGGCGGGGGGGGGTTGCACGGTCGGGGATCTTCTGACCCGGGTCAATCCAGACCTGGGTCAGCAGGAAGCCAAAAAACTGCAATGCAGGAAAAATAAAAAAACTGCAGCGCAGGTTTTCGCAAACCCGGGTCAGCCAATATCATGCGCGGCCGCCTCGCGGCCACAAGCGGCTCGCGAACCCGGGTCAGCCAGAGGGGGTCTTCGCATGGTCATCGCTCGGACGTCCATTCCCTGTGTTTTTTTCGGTTTCGTGCGTGACTTTTTCGCCAAATGATCAAGGATGTTCCCGGATGGTCCTCGCCGAAGGAAAAATGCACACGTCCGAGCGATACCAAGTCGCAGGATCCAGCAAGATCTGGCGCTCAGGCTGACCCCCGTTGGCATTGACCCCCGTCTCTTGAGCCCCGATGAGGAGGCTGCAGATGAGGAGGAGGAGGAGGAGGAGGAGGAGGAGGAGGAGGAAAAGGAAGGAGGAGGAGGAGGAGGAGGAGGAGGAGGAGGGACTGCCTCACCCATCCCCGGCTCGAACCGGGGAGTGAGGGCCCAGCTCCCCCCCCCCCCAGCTCGAGCCAGAGAGGACGGGGGCGGTCCCCCCCCCGCCCTAGATTCGGAGCGAGGTGCAGCGTTGTTGGTGCGTTGTGTTGAGCCTTGCCTGAGCTTTTTGGTGGAGCTTTGCTTGAGCTTCGTTCACGCCCTGCTTGAGAGTTGTTTGGGCTTTTGTTGGAGCTCGTTCGAGCGTTGAGCTGTGTTTGAGCTTCGATGAAGTCTGGTCTGGTATCTGCTCGAGCGTGGGTTGAGCTTTGATGGAGCTTTGTCAAAGCTTTGTTAAAGCTTCGCTTGGGATTTGTTTGAGCTTTTGTTGAGCTTTGTTCGAGCTGTGCTTGAGCTTTGCTCGAGCTTTGATTGAGCTCTGTTCAGGCTTCGTTGGAGCTTTGTGTGAGCTTTGTTGGAGCTTCGTTTGAACTGTGCTTCAGCTTTGTTTGAGCTTTGATGGAGATCTCCCTCTGTAGGTGCCCAGGGGGGTGGGGGACCAGGCACTTGTGCGAGAAGGGCGACGTCATGCGCCACCATTCGAGATGCGACCCACTTGAATCACTTGCCGCACTTGCCACGCCCGTCCGCGCAGCCTCGAGCTTTGTTTGAGCTTTGCTGGAGCTTTGTTGGAGCTTTGCTTGACATCTGTCTGAGCTCTGTTTGAGCTTTGTTGGGGCTTTCTTTGAGCATCGTTTGCACTTTGTTTGAGCCCCGTCCCCCCCCCCCAGGTCCCAACCGGAGAGGGCCGTCCCGCCCCCCGCTGGTTCGAAGAGGGGGGAATTTGACGCTCCCCCACCAGGTTCGAACCAGGGGGGGGGGCAGTAACAGCAGAAAGCGCTCTTTCGGCTCTGGCCTCAGCGCCGCGCGCACTGATTTGAAAAAATGCCAACGGCTACAAGGATGGAGAGCCAGCCGTTGTTTTAATGCGACTCTCGCCGTAGCGCCTCGCACACGATTGCTCAAAGCTCTCCAACCCTTACACAGATAGAGTGGTGAGAGCTGAAGATGCTGCATTCGCCGTAGCGCCGCGCAAACTCGTAAAGCAAAATTTCTAACAGCTACACGGATGGAGGCTGGTCCATTGTAAAAATGCAGCTCTCGCTTGAGATCTCCTTAGATTCGGTGGCATGAAACTGCAAATAGTGCCACAGCTAGACGGATGGAGGGCGGACTTAAAAAGTCAAAGAGCTGCACGGATGGAGGGGGGTGGGCATGCGGCACTCGCCTTAGAGCCGCGTGCATTCGTGTTCAATGCTTCCAATAGCTGAAAGGATGGCCTGGCTCGTTTTCAAAATGCGGCTCTCGCCTGAGACTTCGTCGAATTCGGTGGCTCGAAGTTGCACGCTGTGCAACAGCTACACGGAAGGTGGCGGCTCCTTTTCAAAATGGGGCTCTCCAATGGCATGATATGTCCACAAAGGCTACTACCATATCTTCGATGTCGTGCAACGCTTGCACGGATGGAGGGCAGATCCCTTTGCAAAGCGGAGCTGTCGCCGGACACTTTAGCTGTATCATCCCACCTCATTGCGCCCACCCCAGCTATAAGTCATGAGGGTGGTATAGATGAGGAGGAAGAGGAGGAGGAGGAGGGGGAGGGAGGAGGAGGAGGGGAAGAGGAGGAGGGAGGAGGAGGAGGAGGAGGAGGAGGGAGGAGGAGGAGAGGGAGGACGAGGAGGAGGACGGGAGAGGCTTCGCCGACGACGAAGCTTCGACGACGACGACGGGGTCCTGTACAAAACGGGGGCTCTCGCCTGGGTGGCGGGCCCGCAGGGCGCTCGTCACTGGAGTGGGGGGCGCCTCCCGCAGGGAAACGTGAAGGGGGGCGCTGCCCGAAGGTGAACGGAATACTTGCAGGAACGTGCGAGGAGGGGACTTCGAACTTCGGACGCGGAGGGTGTATCACAGCATCGCTGATGCATCTCCTCCTCCTCCTCCTCCTCCTCCTCACCTCCTCCTCCTCCTCCTCCTCCTCCTCCTCCTCCTCCTCATCCTCCTCGACTTTGTTGTCCTAGTGCTCGTCTTGCTGTCGTCATCGTCACCGTCCTGGTCCGCGATCGTACGATCATTGACCGTACCAATCGCGACGAGGCTCGCGAGGGCCGCAGGTGCCACGGTGCAGAAGCCAGAGCAACGAGTCCCTCGACCCACAGCCTTTGGCCTCTTTCACCCTCTCCCTCCCTCCCCCTCTTCATCCTCCCCGCCCTCCTCCTGCTCCCAGCCCTCCTCCTCCTCCTCGCCCTCCCCTTCCTCCTCCTCCTCCGCCTCCTCCTCCTCCACCTCCTCCTCCTCCTCTTCCCCAACCTCAGCCACGAACCCCCAGGCCCCCACCCCAAGGGGTCCTCCCAGTAGCTCTTCAGCATGCTCTGCCATTGGAACGCGTCTGGCCTGACCACCTTCTCAGTGACCAGCCGCTCCTGCACGTCCAAGCTTTTTGAAGGCGGGAGCGGAGGGTTGGCGTCGCAGAAAGAGGCCGAAGAGGAGCAGGATACGATGAGATATGCCACGTCTGCGGTGCAACCCAGCCCAGGACGGAACTCGACCAACAAAATTTCCTCGGGCGGCCAGCCTGCAATATACAACACAACGGCGCGAGCAACGGGACAGGCGACCCCCCCCCCGCACACCAAGTGTGACACTGCCCCGCGTCCTGGCGCGGGGGCACCGCGACAAGAGGACCCCCCTCACCAGGTGCCCCGCTCTGCATGCTCCGGCAGCGGCCTGAGGAGGAGCAGGAGAAAGAGAATAACGAGGAGGAGGAGGAGGAGGAGAAGAAGAAGAAGTAAAACGAAGAGGAGGAGGAAGAGGTGGAGGAAGGGGAATGGAAGGAGGAAGAGGAAGAGGAGGAGGAGGAGGAGGAGGAGGAGGAAGAGGAGGAGGAGGAGGAGGAGGAAGAGGAAGAGGAAGAGGAGGAGGAGGAGGAGGAGGAGGAGGAAGAGGAGGAGGAGGAGGAGGAGGAGGAGGAGGGGGGATGAGGAGAGGAGGAGGAGAAGGGGGAGGGGAAGGGGAAGGAGAAATAGGAGAGGGAGAGGATGGTGAGTCCTGCACGTCCCGGTTGTGGGCGTCGAGCGTGATGGCGCACATCAGCTTCTGGCGGTCTGGTTTGGTCAGGTCCGTCATCGTAAGCGCGATGAGCTTCAGAAGGAGCTCCCTCGGGCATTGCTGGAAGTAGGGCGGGAGGAAGACGGAGGAAGAGGGATGGGGGGCGGGAGGGGCAAGGGTGAAGATGGGGGAGGCGGGGCAGAAGGGCAAGTGGGGGAGGGCAAGCTGGGTGCGCTGGCGCCAGGTCGGACATTCTACCTCTTCTCCTCCTTCTCCTCGTCCTCTGCCTCCACTTTCTCTTCTTCCTCCGCCTCCTCCGCCTCCTACTCCTACTCCTCCACCTCCTCTTCCTCCTCCTCCTCCTCCTCCTCCATCCTGTTCATCCTCCTCCTCCTTCCTGCTCCTCCTCGTGCTCCTCCTCCCCCTCCTCCTCCTCCTCCTCCTCCTCATCCTCCTCCATCCTGTTCAGCCTCCTCCTTCCTGCTCCTCCTCGTGCTCCTCCTCGTGCTCCTCCTCCTCCTCCTCCTCCTCCTCCTCCTCCTCCTCCTCCTCCTCCGCAAATTCATCCGCCGGCGCGTGTCATTGCGGACCTGGAACTCCCAGGGGGACCCCATCGTGTTAGGCGCAATTCGAGGCGGAAAGCTGCGCGCACTGGAGGAGGTAGCAGATGCGCAGGAGGACCGCCCAAATGGGCTTCCCAAACAGAAGGGAAAGGAGGATGAGGAACGAGGAGGGCGATGACGAACAGCAGCATACCAGCATACTGCTACTGCTACTACTACTACTACTACTACTACCACCACTACTACTACTACTGCTACTGCTACTGCTACTGCTACTGCTACTACTACGACTACGACTACTACTACTACTACTACTACTACTACTACTACTACTGCTGCTGCTGCTACTACTACTACTACTA